CACTGGAGTGCCTAGTATCTGCCTCCATGTATGCTTCATATGCCTGAATATGTGTGAATGGGTGTCATGCACATGGCAGTCATGTCGTGAGCGGAGCCGGCTGGAGCCGGAGGTCAGACTAGATGGCCAGGGAGACCCCTTCTGACTTGCTCTGTTTCTGTTTCTATGTCAGTTAGCCTCCAATAACCTTCTAAAGGAAAAGCTTGCCTGTGTAAGCTCAGTGAAATGGATGAACATAACAGTGTTGCTATTGGGCTACAACTTAGCATATGTTGTTTAAATTACTCCCATATGGGCTTATGTGGGAGTAATTTTAGATTAAAACATGGCCATTTTAGATAAAATAGATGTGGCTGTATCCTTTCAAGGTTGAATTATAATTAAAGATCTATGCTATACCTGTGAAACAACAGAAAATAGGGTGTTATTTTAAAATGTAAATCTTACAGAGAATGTGTGTGTGCAGAGACAAACTGCACACTTTGCTTTACTGTTTTTGTAGAAGAAATTAACCTGGCTGACTTAGCAGAAACAAGAAAGGACTAGAAATTATATCTTTGCCTTTCTTCAGTACAGTTCATGGCCAACTGCATCCTGGAAACTCAACATGGCAGGAGAATCTCAGGGCCATATCCTAAAACATGTATTTCCAGGCAAATCAGCTAGATTGGATTATGGATTGATGCTGAATGAACACACTGAATAAAGGATTCAGAGACAAAAGAAGAGTGAACCATTTAAAGAAAGACTTATAATGCAATCGTATACATGCTTACTCAGAAGTAAACTCCTTTGAATGTAATGGTAGACATATCATGAGTGGAGCTGTCTGGAGCCGGGGGTCAGACTAGATGTCCTTGGGAGACCCCTTCTGACTCACTTTGTTTATAAGTTTCTATGTAATGGAACTAACTGCCAGGTGTATTTGCTTGAATTGCTAGAGTAGTCTAAAGGCATACTCTTTAGACTGCTTTAGTACTCTTATTGGAATACCCATAAGCCTCTGAACTGGGAGGCTTTTGGGCATCCAAACCAGAGGTGGATTGGAGATCTTCACCTCCTTGTCCCTCTGCCTTACAGATTCACTAGATGGGCCCTTTGCCTGCTCTAACTAGAGCATTCTCCGACATTGCTTGCCAGCCCTTGGAAAGCAACCAGTGCAGTTCTGTCCACTCTGGCTGCAAAGTGATGAGGGAGAGAATTCTAACTATTCTACAGCTGCTCAAACACTGTCTAGGGCTGTCTAGGGGACATATGGGGAGCTTTCATTGTACCATTGACCCCTTTCATTCAAAGAATTTTGTCATCCAGACAATGACATCACAGACTAATCACCTTCCTGTGTTTTCCCACCACCTTTCCCATCTTTTTTCTTACCCTGGAAAATCTATTATACTGCATAAGGAAAGACAGAATAGCTGCACAATGCCTTCTGATCATTAGCACTAGAAGCCCTCCACCTGCAAGTGCAGAGAAGTGAGAAATGCATTGTCCATGAAAATCAATGGAGAAATGGAGCCTAGGATTTTAACAAAGCTGCCATTGGGCTTCAGTGTGACCATCTCTAAACAAAAGGTAGGAGCAAAGAGTTTATTCTGTTTCTATCTCAAGTCTCATTCTGAGTGAAATATGTAATATTGTTACTCTTAAAACTTTATACCACAATGTAACATTATCCTGTAATTAAAAATGTAACCCTAAACATTTGGAAGTTCAGTGCATCTGCATGCAAGGCAATGGATTCTATAATAGGGCAGAGATTGCAAAGCCATGTTTGTGTCCCCTGACTACTCAATTTCCTCTTAATTTTTTTAAGCCATGGCCATCCCCCTTTTTAAATAAGAACATAAAAAGTTGTTCTGAATCAGACCAAAGGCCCATCCAGTCCAGCATGCCATACCAATGGAGACAAACCAGCTGCTCACAGGATCCCACAAACAGGACGGGTGCCAGACCTCCTCCTGCCCAAGCTCCTCCAAACTGGTGCGTGCAGGCAGCCCACCTCTGGCAAAGGGGTAGCGCACAGCCAGCACGGCTCGCAGCCACCGAGGGCCCCCTCCCTCCGGAATCGGTCCAATCCCACCTGGACTGCGGACCATCACCGCTGCCTGTGCCGCCAATCCCATAGTTTATCAATGTGTTGTGTGAAGAAGCATTTCCTTTTATATATCCTAAACCTCCTACCAATCAGCTTCACTGGGTTCAAAAAACGCCTCCCTCCCCACTTTCTCCACACCATGCATTATTTTAAACACCGCTATCATGTCTCCCATTTCTTGCCTTTTTTCCTAAGCTGAACAGTTCCAGTTGTCATAGCCAACTGCTCTAACCCCAGTTTTGTTGCCTTTCTTTGTACTTTTTCTAGCTCAATGATGTCCTTTTTCAAGGAAGGTGACCAGATATTCCAAGTGTGGTCATATCAAAGAGCTATACAAGGGGAGTGAAAATTAGGTAGTTCTATTTTCTATTCCATTCCTAACTATGCCTAACATGGAGTTTACCTTCTTCACAACAGCTGCCCACTGGGCCAACATTTTCATTGAGCTGTCCATCACTACCCCAAGATCCCATTCTTGTTCAGTCACTGCTAGTTCCTATCCCAAGAGTGTATACTTGAACTTGGGATTTTTTGCTCCATGTGTGGTACCCTACACTTGCTTATATTGAATTGCATTTGCCATTTGGATGCCCCCTTCTCCCAGCTTGGAGAGATCCCCTGGAGCTCCTCACAATCCCTTTTGGTTTTAACCACCCTAAAAAGTTTAGTGTCATCAGCGAACTTAGCCATCTCACTACTTACTCCAAATTTCAGATCATGTATAAATAGGCTGCAAAGCACTGGTGTGATACAGAAACCTGTGGTACTCTTGGGTTCCACTGTTCAGCATCTGGCAGGGGGCCTTCTCAGTCCTTTCAGACCTCTAAGAGCTCTCCCTCACTAGTGTCTATGCAGAGAAGAGCTTGCACAAGTAGGAAGAGCCAGTAAAGAGAATGCTCAGAGAGTGGAAACAACCAAGAAGGGACTCTGGCCCCCCCTCCAGCAGAGGCAGAGCAGAATTGAAGAAGGCAGGGGTTGACCAAAGGGAAGCAATGTATTTGTCAGTGTTGACATGTCCATGAGTCTTATATCATGATAAATCCACCCCCATTCCACTCCAAGCCATCAGGTGTCTCCAGAGAAGACAAGAACATAGGTGGGGAATGAAAAAAAAAATCTTGGCATAATCAATGGGACAGAACATTAGTGATCATTTATTCTCCATCAGAGGAACATTATGTGCCGTATAGTCCCAGTTCTACAGCTACTGGCTCCTGTGATGTGGAGGTGGTACATTGGGTCCCTCTGAGACTGAGGGGTATGAAAATGCCACATGCTTTGCCCTAGAAGGTCCCAGAGTAGCAAACGGGTTGCAAGTGTAAATTCCTCCCCTTCTGAGTCCTCTAAGGTAGACTGGACAGAACATTTGAGGCCAGTGCTGTGTTTCTTCTGTGTGAATGAGGTGGCTGGGTGTGTGGGGACAGAGAATGGGATTTCTCCCCAATGTTTTGCACTAATAATCTGATTCTCTAAAATTGAAGTTATTGCTCATAAAGAAAATATGGACACAAAAGAGAGCTTTTGGGTGGCTTATGTGAATTTGCTCCTTCCCCACAACTGTGGCTCATGATCCTGAATGTTTCTTTGTGCAATAAGGGCTGCTGGGAATTCAAATAATAGCTCAATGTTTGGAGACCTCCTTGGCTTTCTCTCTGGTGATTCCACTTCACCAAACCTGGTGGACAGCCACCAGCCACCACTGTGGGCAGGCTTCTGCTTTGTGGTGGGAGACAGCACGAGAGGGCAATGTTACTATAAAGTGGAGGCGTTCTGTACAGAAAATGCTTGGCATTGTAAGGATTTTGTAAGACAGCCATACAAAATGACTACCTGTTGTAATGTTGGTTTAATGTTGCTTTTTACCTATAAATATAATGCAGTTTCTCTTTATTTTGTTGCTATGTGCCATCAAGTTATCTCTGACATGGGGATCCCATGAATGAATGCCCTCCAAAATGTCCCGTCTTTGACATCCTTGTCAAGGTTGTGGCTTCTATTACAGACTTAATCCATAAGTGGTCACCTAATTTCTTCCTGTCAGCTTTTTTCATTGTCCAGCTTTCACACCCATACATGGTGATTGGAAATACAATAGTGCCAACTGCAATTATTTACCAGCTTCAATTCCTGTCTGATTAATACAGATGTCATGATACAGGTTGGTTGTGACCCCTAACTATCCAACCAATCAACTGCAGCAGGGTAAGAATCAGACTGTGCTATGGCAAAATTGCTTCAGCAAATCTGCTACCTCCAGCACAGAAACAACAGTAATGAAGAATACCATACAGGTGTGCAAGCTACTCCCTCGGTTTCAGACTGATCCCTAATATTAATAAGCGGAGTCTCCCAGTCACCCTCTCCTCCCTGACCCCCACCCCCACCGACCAGAGTCAAGCATGCTCCCACTGCAATGTGGGTATAAAGCACTATGCTTGCGCTGTAGTGTCATGTTTATTTATTTATTTAAAACATTTTTATGCCGCCCCCATTGCGGCATAAATGGGGGCGGCTCCTAATATTTCTGAATAGCCTAAAAAGAAAACAGGAAAAAACATTTTTCACCAGAATAAAGATCTGGATTTTGTTGTTGCAACAATTTTTTAAATTTACATATAGCATGGATGATCTCGGCTTTGGCGTCCGGTGAAACGTCTCCATACTGTATCTTTTCTAGTTCCTAGTTCCTCAGTTAGGAAGAGTCAAACCCCGCCTTCGCTTGCAGATCACACCTACGATAAAACTCGTCCTCTTGCGCCACGGACTCCCAGCAGCGGGTCTCCCAAGCAGAGGGACCCCGCCAGCACCAGCCACCCGGCAGCTCTCTCGCCGCAACTTTTTTCTAAGCCCCGCCCACCAGCAGCTGATCGCGCCTGGCCCAGGCGCCGAAGTGACGCCATTCTCCTGCGCCGGAAGTGGGGGTGTGGAGGAGCGCGCGTTGGCCAGTCTTCGGGAAGCCCCGGCGACCCCGCTTGCTTGGGCCGCGCCCGCCGGGAGCTGGGCTGGGGCAGACGCGGGGCGCGAAGATGCCAGTGGCGGTGATGGCGGCGAGCGGCGCCTTCAGCTACCGGAAGCTGCTGGAACAGTGCGAGACTCAGGAGCTGGAGGTGAGGCGGCCTGGCGCACCGGCGGTGGCGAACGAGCCATAGGAAGTGAGGCGGGCGAGGCCCCGGGCTGGCCTGGCGGGGCCGTCGCCCGCCCCTGCCCGCGCGGCTCCCTGTCTGCTCGCTCCGCTCCCTTCCGTTCCTGGTGTTCAGGGGCAAGAGCGGAGGATGTCGGCCCTCTGCCACCTAATGAGCGAGGAGCCCCTTTGCAATTCTTCAGGACGCCCGTCCGGGTACTGCCCGCTTGACAGAAAACCGGGTAGGGTCCTCTGAGAAAGCGTAACTCCGGTCCCCATTGGTGTGGGTCGCTCATGCCACTGAGGGTAGGAGCCTGCATGGCTGAGTACTTCACGCAGCTCCTTGAACTTCAGTCCCTTGAAGCTAGTGTGATCATCTCTGATAGATATCTCTGACATTTTTGGCCTTATATGATGGGTTTTTAAAAGAAGTGTTCAGTCATGCATTGGTACTTGCAGCCTGACTTCCCACAGGTTAAACATGTTAGTGAGACTATTAAGTCCATGCCCATGGGTAGCTCATTTGCACTCAAAGAGGCAAGCTTGTTATGAGAACCAGTCAGAGATTATAAAGCACTTTGTACGTTAAGTATGTGGGGAAAATGTTAAATTTTGTGAGCTGATTAGAGGCTATTGAGTGGTACAGAAGAATGATAAATAATAACCATATGTAACCTCTCATAATTTGTGATTCTAAATCAGCCTTCTTCAAACCTGGATGTTCTTGGACTACAACTTCCATCATTCCAGATTATTGCCTATCCTGGTGAAGGATGTTGAGCACTGTAGTCCAAAACATCAAGCAGGATCAAGGCTGTTCTAAATACAGGTACATCTAGCTGGATTTAACAATTGAAACACTATTGTATAATATTAGGAAAGGTTTTGGAGAATTGGTTCTCTGTGCCATACTATAGTTTATCATTCTACTATGTCTTGAGCTGGGTTTAATCTGGTTAAGGTTGTGCCATTTTTAATATCACATATAACGGTTTACATTGTTCCAATATGGTCTACTTGGAAGTATAGATGTGAAGGGCATCCTAAATAGTTTTGAAAAGAACTGCAGAGGAAACTGCCAAACAGGTTGATATATTTAGTATGAAGTTTCAGAATTGTATCTACATTTGGGTCTGCTTTTTCAGCCCTAAGCTTTCCATGTTCCTTCTGTGGAATATCTGTTTAGATTGAGTAAGGGCTATCTTGAAACATGACTGCTTGCCTCTTGAACTAATTTGTGAGTTTTGATGGTCTTATGTCTTTGTAAATCAAGGTGGGGGAGCTGGGGCAAGCTTCCTTTATTCACAATTTATGGAATATACTCCTGAATATATTGTACTTTGGTTCTTTTTAAAGGCTCCTGGAGGAATAGCAACACCACCTGTTTATGCCCAGCTCCTAGCTTTGTATCTTTTGCATAATGACATGTAAGTAAAAGTTTCTTTTAATATATCTCTTATGTTGAACTTGAGAAGAGACGCCCTTTGCAATCTGTTTAGGAAAGCAGCAGCTTAAGAGTCATTCCAATATCTGAAAATGAGGAACTGAAGTAAACTGCAATAAAGAATGCCTGTATTGTCATGTAAATACATGGAAGTGTTTGAAGAGTCTATACAGAGGCACTTGCTTGGTCCTGAAACATTTGGGGCTCAGGCCCCCAGGACAAAAGATGTGCAGAAATCTGCATATGCTAATTTTCATACACTGTACAGTTTCTGAGTTTCTTTAAAGGATCCTGTCTTTTATGAACACTCCTACGTGTAAAAAGTAATGCATGGACAGGGAAGTGAAGGACATTTAGTTGCGGGGCAGGAGACTCAGCAGAAAGATTTAAGGGTGGGGAGCAGCAGGGGGAGAAGCATACGTGGGCAACAGGACAGCTAATCCAGGAAGATCAGAGCAACCAAGATAAAAGGATAGCAAAGTCTGCAACCAAAGGAGAAATGTGCTAGATTCCCTCTTGCGCAGGATGGAAAAATATGTATGTTGCGACAGCCCAGAAAATTGCCAAGTATGGAGTCTCCCTGGTGCCAAGATTAAAGATATAAGCAGCAAGTTCACCCAACTCATATGACCCACTAACAAATACCCCTTCCTTCTCTTCCATGTGAGTACTAACGACACTGCCATGAGAAGCTTTGCTGAAATACCATTGAAGCTCAAGGGAGGAAAATAAAAAACACTGGGGCCCAGATAGTCTTCTACTCAATCCTACCAGAACATAGAGGAGGAACTGTTAGAGAAAGAAAAATCCTTCAAGTGAATGACTGGCTATGATGGTGGTACAGTAAAGAGAGATTTGGATTCTGGGACCACAAGCTAAGCTTCCTGGAAGATGGACTACTGGCAAATGATGGGCTGCACCTCACAAAGAACGGGAAGCGGATGTTTGGCCACTACATGAAAAACTTCATCAGGAGAGCTTTAAAACTAAAAAGGGGAGGGAGATGTACAGCATGGGATACCATCACCTGGCAAAGATGTATACATTTCAACAGAGAATAAACCTAAAGCAGGGTTCAACACCAGTCTCACAAAATACATAGAAAGAAAACCAGGGCACAGCTGGAATGAACTTCGATGTCTCTACCCCAATGCCCAGAGTATGGGAAAACAAACAACACGAACTTGAGCTCATACTACATGAGTGCAATTATGATCTTATAGGAATAATGGAAACTTGGTGGGATCACTCACATGACTGGCACTCTACAGTTGATGGATACAACCTGTTCAAGAAAAATAGAAAGGACAGAAAGGGAGGTGGAGTTGCACTATATGTAAGGGACACATATATCTGCATAGAAATACAAGAAGAGGAACAAGAAGAGGAATAGTAGCCCCATTGAAAGCATCTGGCTAAATTTAAAGGGAGCAAAAAACAAGAAAAACATATTTTTTGGCATATATTACTGCCCACCCAGTCGAAAAGAGGACAAGGATGCAACCTTCAAAAAGCAACTTGCCAGCATTTCCAAGAAGAATGATATAGTCATCACGGGGGACTTCAGATTCCCCGATATATGCTGGGAGACAAATTCTGCCAAGCATGGCCCCTCCAAGAGATTCCTGACATGCGTTGTTGACAACTTTCTCCAGCAGAAAGTAGAGGAAGGTACGAGAGGATCAGTTATTTTTGATTTAATACTAACTTACAGGATGACCTGGTGGACAGAATAACAACCATGGGAACTCTGGGGCAAAGTGACCATGCGAATCTTGAATTCTCAATTATGAAGGAGACAATGGGTAACTGGAGTCAAACAAGCATCCTGGACTTCAAGGAAGCCAGCTTTTAACTAACTCAGAAAAATGTTCAGAGAAGTGCCATGGCAACACAGCCTTAAGAGAAGAAGAATTCAAGAGGGGTGGGAAATCTTGAAAAAGATTAGTTAAGCACAACTACAAAGAATTCCTTCAAGAAAAAGTGTAGAAGATAGCAGAGGAAGCCCACATGGCTCCACTAAAAGTTAAGTGACAGCCTGGGGGGGGTGGCTGCCCAGGAAGTGGAAACAGGGCCAGGCCACAAAAGAAGAATATAAGCAAATAGCAAGGAATTGCACAGACATGATCAGGAAGGTTAAAGCAGGAATTGAACTGATGCTAAGAACAACAAGAAAGCCTTCTTCAGATACATCCAGTACAAAAGACATAATAAAGAGAAGGGTGTCCAGCTACTTAAAATGGATGGCAGAGTGATAACAGACAACAAGGAAAAGCAGAGGCGCTCAATTCCTACTTTGCCTCAGTATTTTTCAACAAGGAAATCTACAACTAAGAGGAAGTACAAACTGAAAGTAAGAGATGGCAGACAAGATTGACAGACAATTGGTTGAAGAATACCTGGATGGAATAGAAATGTTCAAATCTCCAGGGCCCAATGAACTCTATCCCAGAGTTATATAAGAGCTAGCAGAGCAACTCTCAGAACCACTGGCTGTTATTTTTGATGAATCTTGGAAAACAGGAGAGGTGCCAGATGACTGGAGAAGGGCTACTGTTGTTCCTATCTTCGAAAAGGGGATTAAAGATGAATCTGGGAGTTATAGACCAGTTAGTCTGAGATCAATCCCTGGAAAAATTCAGGAGCAGATCATTAAATGACTCCATCTGTAAGCAACTTGAAGAAAATGGAGTGATTAATAGAAGTCAGCATGGATTTATCAAAAATAAATCCTGTCAGACTAATTTAATCCCATTTTTTGAGTGGGTAACTTCCTGAATGGACAGAGGGAATACTGTGGACACAATCTGCCTATACTTTAGCAAAGCTTTTGATATAGTGCCACGAAAGATTCTGATAAGCAAATTAGCAAACACTGGACTAGATGGAAAAACTATTAAATGGAACCAAAATTGGCTGCTAAATCAGACAAAAAGAGTGCTCATCAATGGCACCTTCTCAGATTGGATGGAGGTAACTAGCGGGGTGCCATAGGGTTCAGTCCTGGGCCCAGTGCTCTTCAACATCTTTATTAAAGATTTACATGAGGAAGTACAAGGCAAGATAATCAGATTTGCAGATGATACAAAACTAGGTGGGATTGCAAACATCCTAGAAGACAGAATGAAGATCCAGGGTGATCTTGATAAACTTGAACACCTGGGCTGAAACCAACAGAATGAGATTCAGTAAGGACAAGTGCCAAGTCCACCACCTAGGAAAAAGAAACCAAAGGCATTGATACAAGATGGGGAATACGTGGCTCAACAGAACTGAACAAGAAAAAGATCTCAGAGTAATTGTGGACAATAGGCTGAACATGAGCCAACAGTGTGATACAGCCACCAAAAGGGCAAATGCTATTTTGGGATGCATTAACAGAAGGATTACTTCCACATCACAAGAAGTAGTAGTTCCTCTATACTCCTCACTAGTCAGACCTCATCTGGAATATTGTGTCCAGTTGTGGACACCAAGATTTAAGAAAGATGGAGGTAAATTGGAAAGGGTCCAAAAGAGGGCAACAAAAATGATTGGGGTTTGGAAACACTGCCCTATGAGGAGAGACTGAGAGAACTGGGCATGTTCAGCCTTGAGAAGAGAGACTGAGGCGGGACATGATATCCTTCTATAAGCACCTCAAAGGCTGTCACAAAGAGGAAGGCCAAGATTTCTTCTTGCTGATGCCAGAATGCAGGACATGGAATACTCAATTCAAGTTGCGGCAACCCAGATTCAGGCTCGACATCAGGAAAAGCATCTTTACTGTTAGAGCAATACAACAGTGGAACCAGCTGCCTAGAGAGGTGGTGGGCTCTCCCACACTGGAGACATTCGAAAAGAAACTGGACTGCCATCTGAGTGGGATGGTGTAACTTGGTGTCCTGCAGCAGCAGGGTTTTGAACCCAATGGCCTTCATGACCTCTTCCAACTCTGCTGTTCTGTTTTTCTACATTTGTGTCTAGATCCTGCCTGTAAATTTTGTCCTTTCCCCCCTTTCTTCCAATTCACTCTTCTTCAGGCTTTATCCTTTGCTTGCTTTGCAGTCTGCCCTTGCCGCCTCCTTGTCACCGTGCTCCCCTCTCCTTTTCCCAGGCCTCTGCTGTTCCTTGTGTGCGTCTTCAATACCTGTTTAACAGGCAACTTGCACCTCGAGGAAGCTAAACTGCATGCTCCTTAAATCCCTGGACAATCTTTAATCTCTGTGCTGGCACACCAGCTCAGCCATTTGTTACTGAAGTGTCTCCTGCCACATGCAAAACAATTCAGATTAATAGGCCTTGCATAGATTACTGTGCATAAGAGGTATAAAGTGCACAAAATAAATATTCCAGGCCTAGTACCAGGTTGTGGAACATGCTAGAACTTTGTCTATTATGTAGCACAACATATATAGCTTTTATACTATAGATTTTATAATCTAATTGATTACAAAGTAGAATAAAAAATACTCAGAGGTATAAAATCCATATGCTTCTGCTTTCAGGCATGTAATCTGTATTTTGTACAAAAGTGTTAGATTTTTTAGGAGGGTGGATCTTGCTTGTCTTTACCTTGAAGGCACATCTCTTTTAATAATCTTTTAGGGGTATTGCTTAGTTATTTTTCAAAATCTAAATTAATTGCTCTGTTTTTATTAGGAACAATGCACGGTATCTCTGGAAAAGAATTCCTCCCGCCATTAAATCTGTAAGTACTCAAGAAAGGGATGAAGTCTTAATTGAAACGTGTGTTTTCCAAGTTCTCAGAATATTTAGCGCTTTGATGCCCCATCACAGGTTCTGTTCCTACTCTTGAGGTTACTGTCTGGTGTTATCTGTTCTGTGTTGTATAGATTGTTATTGTATTTTATGAGTTTGTGTTTTATAACTGTTTTGATATTTGAACGTTTATATCACTGTGGATACCCCAAGCAGAGTGTGTAGTTTATAAAAATAAAGAGTAGGAAGACGTTTTGTGTCAGTCTTGGGTCCAGCTACATTTCCAGAGTGTTATGAATCAGGTAGAAAATAACTTTATGTTCAGCTGACTGTTGTGACTGAATCAATGCAAATGGTCTCTGACCTTCCCCTCCTCTTTGGAGTGGGAGGCGTAGGTAAGAGAGGCCCATGAGAAATGCATTCTGCTGCTGAGATACTTGAAAGCAGAAGGGTAGGGACTGGGGAAGGGGCTGGAGAAGGACTCTACTGAGGATATAGCAGGAGCAGCAGCAGTAGACAAAAAGAAGCTCAGAGGTAAAGATTAAACAGACTGAGTGAAGCTAAAAACCCAAGAGGCTTAAATGCTGCCTGTTCTTTACTCAGTCACCCAGCATTTAGTTATTTTTCTGAGTGTAAAAGTTACAGACATACTTCATTTTACATGCACACTCTCTGTCATAGGCACAATATCTTGATCAGTTTCTATAACAATCAGGTAAATTTCAGGCTTCTGTTTCCCAAATTTCCTTGCATCCTGCTTTCTCTGCTGCCCAGTTGGATGGAGGTGAGATATAGAACCATGTTTTCCAGATCATGGTGTTATTTTAGGAAGTGTCTCATTGCTCATATGACAAGAGTCCAGTGCATCTTCATCCCATGCTTTGGAATAATGTTACTGCCAGCACTGTTATTAAGGGCCTGGGCCTGTACCACCTGCCTGCCTGATGCTGTGCTGCACCTGTGGAGGCTTGACCACGCTGCTGCCGCTGTTGCCATCGGGACAAGAAATGCACCTGGCTTCACACCTCCATAGCAGCCACCACCTGTACACTTACCTGCTCCCAATTTCCAGTGGGAGAAGAGATTGGGGGCAGGGAGATGTGTTCATGGGGGGATGGGTGCTGGCGTGCCTATTTTTCCGGCCACAGGCTTGGGCCAGTGGCCCAAGTGTGGTGGCCAACAGGTTTCAGGCCATCTGGGGCCGGTTGGGGTTGGATTGGGCAGGGATTTGATTTGAGATTTTCTAAATCGACCACCACTAGCATCTCAGGAAGACTTAAAAAAACAAGTAGAATAAAACAAAACACCACAGCATCCAACAATTTGAAATAATAAAGTACCAGTTAAAATCAAATAAACATTAAAATGATGGGAAAATAAAGAGGTTTTTGCCTGATGCCATAAAGACTATAATGTCTGTGCTAGGCAAATCTCTCTGGGGAGTATATTCCATAGTTGGGGCACCACCACAGATAAGTCCCTCCTCCAGGTAGTCACCCTCCTAATCTCTTTCAAGGAGTGCATTCCTAATCTCCCAGAGCAGGACCTCCCCCTCAGATCACAAGGGGTGAGAAGACACATAGGGAAGAAGGCGTTCCTTCAGGTATCCTGAACCTGAGCCATTTAGGGCTTTATAGGTAATTACCAGTACCTTAAATTAGGCCCAGACTTCAATTGGCAGCTAGTGTAAGTGATAGAGGACCAGCATTGTATGTGAGTACCTGCTGGTCCCTATTAACATCTTCTGAACTATTTGAAGTATCCAGACCATCTCCAAGGGCAGCCCCATGTAGAGCACATTACAGTAATCCAGTTGGGGAGTTACCAGGTGTGGTTAACTGTTGCTAGGCACTGCTTATCCGGGTAAGGGCAAAGTTGGTGGATCAGCTGAAGCTGAAGGAAAGCACTCCTTGCCACTGCTGCCACCTGAAACTCCAGGGTCAGTTCTGGGTCAAGAAGCACTCCCAATATGTGCACCCTATCTTTATGGGGAGTGCAACTCCCTCCAGAACAGGGTTAAAGTCACTTACCCAGAAGTCTGACCCAACAGGACCTCCATCTTGTCTGGATTAAGTCTCAATTTAGTGGCCTTCATCCAGCCCATTACCCCAGCCAGACACCAGTTAAGGACAGCCACTGCCTCACCTGGGCTAGATGTAAAAGATGTTGAAGAGCATGGGGGATAAAATGAAACCCTGTGGAACTCCATGGCTAAGCTGACATGGAGCAGAGCCATAATCCCCCAGCACCACCTTCGGGAATCAGCCTGACAGGTAGGAGTGGAACCACGGCAAAGCAGTGCTACCAACACCCAACCAGGCCAGCCAATCCAGAAGGATATTATGGTCAATGGTATCGAAAGCCATTGAGAGGTTCAGGAAGACCAACAAGGTTGCACTGCTGCTGTCCCTCTCCCTGCACAGGTCATCATACAGGGTGACCAGGGCAGTTTCTGTTGCATAGCCAGGTCTGAAGCCAGACAGAAATGGGTCTAGATTATCAGTTTCCTCCAAGAGTGCCTGGAGTTGCCCAGCCACCCACCACTCAATCACCTCTACCATTTGCACTGGCTGCAACAGCTGGGGGTTGGACTCGATGGCCTCATGGCCCCTTCCAACTCTCCTATGATTCTACCTGGAAAGCTCAGCTGGATGGCACTGTGAAGATGCAATGGAAGTGGAGAAGAATTCCATCTTTGCCACCCTCACCACCACAGCTTAGGCTCGATAATGAACTCTAAGGCATGTTTGGTCAGATTTGGCATGGGATTTCCTCCACCTACGCTCTAGGCATCTTCCAGCTTGCATCATCTCCTGCAGCTCAGGCGTGTACCACACAGGCTCTGCATGGTGGGAGAAGACGCTTAGGAGCAATTGTGTCAATTGCCCGGGCTGTTTCCCCATTTCACAGATCAACCAAGACATCAAGAGGAGTACCAGTCCTATCAACCAGAAAATCCCCCAGAGACCTCAGGAATCCATCCCAATCTGTAAGACTCTGGGAGTGTACCCCCTGCAAACGTGATGACAACTGAGGAAGAGGTGGTGGAGCACAGCCAGCCCTCGCATGCGCCCCCCCCACCCCTGGACTAGGAGGGAATCTCCCACAAACTGGCACCAGGCTAAGGACCGGTGGTTGAAAACCACTGCTCTAGAGTCCAGTGAAATTTAGTAGGTTACCCATTGAAGGAAGGGATATTGTATTTGTAATTCAGGCCACTCTTTCACACAATTCTTTGAGCAAATTTCCCAGAGCTTTTTTCTACAACCTTTCCAGTTCCTAGTTACAGATCTTCTTCATGCAATGTAGGGGAACATTGTCTTGCAGTGTTTGCCTTGTGGAATGGCCAAGATCGAGTCTGAGAAGGGAGCTGGGCTGGGCTGCCTTCCTCTGAGCTCCCCTTGGGATGGCAAGCTTGACAGCAAGCAGCAGTGGGACCAGGCCATGCTGTGCAGCTGAATCTTACAAAGAGAAGTGCTGCGTGGTTGGATGCTGCACCCACCATCTCAATAACCTCTTTACTGTATTTTACAACTTCCACGGCTGTGCTGCCAAAGCGCCAAATTCCTTGCCTGCTCCAACCTGCTTACCTCCTGTCTCTGTGGCAATGAGCGGCCTCGCCCCTGTAGCAACAGGGAGCTGCCTGTCTTCCCCACAGGGTTTCCCCTCGCTGCTTGCACCTCCCTGTCTGTGAGTGGTGGCCAAGCCAGCCCATCACAGTCTCCGTGTGCATCTTTTCCTTCGCCCCTCTCCTCCGTCTATGTCCGTCTATGTCTCTCCTCATCTCTCTCCTCCTCCCCCACTTCCCTTCCTCTGCGTCCTCTCGCGCACCACTCCACCCAACCCAGCGGTTCCTTCACCGGCCGGCAGTTCTGCACCGCTGCACGCTCGCCCGCGTACCCCAGCCATTGCAGTCCCATGCGTTCTGCCCAGGCGGATTCCCAGCCATGCCTTGTCGTCTTTGGCCCTGCTTCGTTGAATGTCCCAGGAAAATGGGCGAGCCCCTCTACCTCCTCACAATGGGATACGAAAATTTTAGTATTTATCCAGTATTTACTGCTGCATGACTTGGTAGGTAACAGGCCAGTGGTCCATATAACCTCTCTTGTCTGAGGGCCATAGACGTCTACATAGAGGCGTACCATGGTGGTAGTTCTTGCACTGTTTAATCCAGGAGTTGTCAACCAGAAGTGCCACATGTGAGCCATTTTCACCTTCAGTCAGCAGCCAAAATGTGCTCTGTTCCTGGCCTATTTTGTAACCCCTGAACTTGAAAATTCTGAGATGTTTAGGGGTTAAGCAACCTCAAATTAACCCAATTTATGGTTCATTGTTGGATTAATTTTATGTTCTTTTTCCTTGCTTTTTAAATTTACCATTTAGTTTTAAAGCTTCAATAAAACAAAAACATTAAAGGAAAAAGAAAGGAATATAACTATGTAGATTTAAATCTATCAATACTTGTGAATGAATGTGTATATAATACAATTTTCTAAGAATTATACATTTCAATGAAAAGAGACAAAATATAAAAGTATCAATTTGCAAGTGGTGTCTATACATTTCCTGTTCAAATATTTAAATTGTCATTACATCAACTGTTTAAACTGTCATTACATGACACTGCATTATAAGAAGTTAGCATTTATCCTTCCAATGTTTTAATATCAGTATTTTAGCTGTCAAAATGCTGTGGCAAATCCACTTTTGCTAACTGAATGTGGACTTCTAGGAAGGTAGATAAATTCAAAGTTCGTACACATCAGCAAATGTTAAACTATTCCAGTACAAGTTTATCTACACAATAACTTCTGCCCCCAAAGAGGCAACTTTTGGGCATTGCCAAACACATGATTGAAAGGAGGATTAGCTGTGTTACACTTACAGCAATTAGCTGATATAAATAATAGTAAAGACACACTGATATCCAGCTGACATGGAACAAGCGTTTTGCTGTACCCTGAGAACCACAGTTGCTTCAGGTAAAGACATAAGCCAGCAATCCGTTGACTAGACAAAGGGGGAGTCCTGTTCCCTATCCCACTGCTGCTTAAGACCCTCTGTATCATACTTACTTGCCAATAAATAAGCATTTACAAACATGGACCATGTGTTTATATAGATGGTCAGCCTCAATGCTTTAATAACAAAGGAGATTCAGAAGCTATAAAAGAGGTGGAGCCCAACCTATATTTTAATAAATGTTGCAGTAGGCCGATGTTGCCATTCAACCATAGCATGTAAATTGTATTTGACACATAAAGCTGCAGATGACCAAATACATTCATCAGAACCAACTAATTGATCCAAGGTAAAAACCAACTTATCTGACCAAGCCTGCTACAGAATTTATAAACCAAATTTTAAACCTTCATTTCCCCATAAAGTCAATTTAGCACGACAAAATGGAGCCAAATGTAGTTAGTGGGGCCTTGTATGCCAGATGTCATCCATTTGGAGAGAGGATCCAGACTGACCACGGCAGAAAATCAGAACTTTGTGGAGGAGGGCAAAATTTGGAAAAAGGTCAACAAATAAAACTTAACTATTCCGCTTTAATTGGAAGTTGTATCTTTTTCATGCATATTTATAGCAAGGAGGAACCCCAAGGGCATAGGCTTTTCTGTGTTCTAATACAGTGGGTCAGGTACCCTCATTAATTTCAAAATGTTTGTGAGTAATTCAGCAGAAGACTGATTTTTAAGCACCTCAACATAAAGAGAAACAGTAACATGTGGGAAACCAGGGGCCTTGGCAAATCTGAGTGTAGAAACTCAATGCAGAGTGGAACATGGTTTGTGACTGCCAGCATATCAATCTTACAAATATTTATTTGATGCAGCAAAGATGTAGAAACCAAAAAATAATCTCATGTTACATTGGATAGGTATAGTCTTTCTCTCCAGGAAACATCAAACCAAATTTAGCCATGTAGGCCTAAAGTGCTTATCTCTCTCACCAAATCTTGCACTCCACTTACCTCTTGGAAGCATACTTCTGCTGTGCAAAGATGCTAAAATCTCATTAAATTCTGTGAATCAAAAGTTCATAAGCAATATCAGCAAACTTGCTAAAGCGTCAGTGAAACATAATTGGAACATCATCTACTTTAATCATGGCTTATGAATATATTTACTAATCAGCATCACAAAAATATCCATCGGACTCTATAATCACCTGTTGACTGGAAAGAAAAGTTGTTAATGAATAAAATAGCAACCCTTTTCAATCATCTGTTACACAGACCGCCCCCCCCCCCCAACTCAGTCTTGTTCTGCAGTGTATGCTAGGTGAGGATGCTCGTGAAGTCTGTTCAGAAATTGCAATGTTTTGAAATGTAGCAGCCAGATTAGTAACTGGGACAAGAGGTTCTGGGCATGTAATACTAATTTTGGTCAGCATATATGGCTGCCAGTATACTTCTGGTTTTATCTTATGATGCCTTACATGGCTTGGGACTACAGTAACTGACATAACGCTTCTCCCAGCTGCAATCTGTCCGGACACGGTGATTAACCTCTGCAGTCTTCCTCCAAATGCCACTACTGGAGGAGGCTAAGGGGTGGATAGCAAGAGGGAGGGCCATTTTAGTAGAACACTCTCCACTGAGGTCCACCTGGTACCAACTGTGTTATTCTTTCAGCACTAGGTTAAGACTGTGCCCTGTTCTTAGGTGTTTAATCACATTGTTTAGGTTGAAGGAGGGGTACCTAGATCAGGTGTTTAAAGAATTTTATTCTTTAGTAAATATTGTTTTAGTTTTTAAAAATTGTACTCTGGAATAATTTTATAGTTTCAGTGTATTATGATTCTATTTTAGGAACTGTTGTCAACCACCCAGAGAGTTTTAGGTGTTGGGTGATACAGGAACAGAATACAGTTTGGGGAGTTGCTGCTTTAAATTGAAAACAAACACCTTAATTTTTGTAATTAGATTTATACATATATAGACAAGGTGCCTGTCAGAGTTTCTCACATGATTTGTTACATTTTTGTGAATTGCCCAGAGAGCTTTGTCTATTGGGCTGTGTTAGTATTAGTAAAATATTAAGTAATCTTTAAAATGTACTTTAAAAAATCTTTCTTTCTTTGCAGGGAAATCCTGAACTTGGAGCAATTTGGTCAGTAGGGCAGAGAATCTGGCAAAGGGATTTTCCTGGAATTTATACAACAATTGGTGCTCATCAGTGGTCTGAGTCTATTCAACCAGTTATGGAAGCACTTAGAGGTACACCTACCTTCCTCACGTTCTCCTTTGGTTTGATAGGTCTCTGCCTTCAAAAAAGTGGTATTAGGCTGACCCAGAACCAAAGTTGCACTGGCATTGCATTGAGAAAATGGTTAGGTTGGAGTACTGGCTTGTGCACATAGCCCTCTTGAACCAGGGTTGCACAGCATGTAAGCCGTCCTAAGAAATGCTGTAGGGGATGGGATAGAAAAGCTTTTAAAATGTATTTATGTATGTACATATGTTGCATCTGCCCTGTCCCCAGTTGTACTACTCCAGTTGCTGCCTTATACATCACGTGTGTGAGGGAAATCCTCATTGGGTGCCATTTTCCTATTCTTCTGGAAAACGGAGCATTCAGGGATGACTCACCACATGCACCCTGCTTTCCAGTAGAATTGGGAGTGCCAGGAGAAAAGGGTACTTGAGCAGACTCAAATGCATGTGCCGTCTTTCTTAGTAAAATCAACTGATAGTGGAAGAGGCAGCTATATCAGTGCTAAGGGAGGGCTTTAAGCCCCCCTGCCCAAGTGATACTACTGCTTATTGCTTTGATCTTCAGTAAAATCAGAGTGGCCAGGGTATATCAGATTCTCCTGGCAAAGCTGCTGCAAAACTAGAGATGAAATTTGAGAAGAAAGACCCGCTGTGGTTGAGGAAAGGAGTCTGTTGTGAGACAGAATAAGCAGAAAGGGAGAGTGCTGAAAAAGGATCAACAAGACATGCTTATCCATAAGAGAAGACACGTTTTCTAGACACTTTTACCTCATGTCTCTAACTAGGACAGGGGTGCAAAATCAGAATGGGTGGGGCTACATTCCACCCTCAGGCTCTGCACTCATGTCATTCACCCCCGTCCACCCCCATTTTGCCCTTCTCCATTGAATTCTTTGCCTCACTCAGGATGGAGAAAGGGACTCAGCTAGTTTTGGAAAGCCCTGGATTTCCCTCTTCCATTAGTCCTCCATTTTCTGGTATGTGCAAATCAGTGCCTTTTTTCTCACTATGGTTGCTGTCACTTTTTGCTATTTATTCTGAGGTGAGATTTTCATGGACATAAGGGCGAAGCCAATTTTAGTATAAAAGCACCATGTTTTTAATTGGATTTCAGCACTTTTGCATCAATATAAAAAGTTAAAATAAACGTATGTTTCTATGGGTTATATGGTTGTAGGATCACAGTGTGTAGGTAAAAAACCAGATTTGGGTGTATCAAATTAAGATTCAAGTTCTTTTTATTTTCATTGTGCAATATAAAAACAACCAAACCACACCATTAGAGAAGAAAAGAAAGAGAACAAAATGATTACAAGTTATTACAATTAAGATTATTTTTTAAAAGATCCATTATATGAAATAATGAAATTTTTAAACATGAGATTCAGGTTCTACTTTTGCTGTAACAGTCTTCTATAAGGGTTTGGGTTATAACCTGGTTTAGGGATTTCGTGAAGTTGAGCACTGACCAACATAGTTTAGAAGGTTACTTTCCACTATCAGATCTCTCTCCTTTACTCACCTGCTGGATGTGCATATATATATAGATATATATGTGTGGGAGGGAGGAAGGGAGGGAGGGAACAGAACTGGGGTTGCCATTTATGTAAAGTTGGAGAAAATCTGATCTCTTTATTGCATAAATATACTCTTACGTTTTTTTCAAAATTACGTCTTATAGATGCAACCAGGCGGCGAGCTTTTGGACTGGTGTCTCAAGCATATACTTCAATAAGTGCAGATGACTTTGCGGCCTTTGTTGGGCTTCCTCTAGAGGAAGCAGTGAAAGGTATTGAAAACCCCACTTATTCAACTGGGTATTAAAGGAGTGATGCATTCAATCCACTGTAGATAGCTGTTTTATAATTTTATATTGCTATTGTATTGATGTTTTTAATCTTTTAAGTGTTTTAATAGATTTTAATCTGTTGATGTGTGTGTGTCTAATATGTTGTAAGCCACTTAGAAAGGCCTTTTGGCGGTTATAGGCAGCCTATAACTAGATGACTAAATAAAATAATAAATACCTAGTAGCTCAGATCTGGCTACTGAAATGCCATCTTCCCCCAGTCTGCATGGTAACGCTGTGTGATGCCATGTTAATATTCTTCCCATCAAGTGCAGCAGGTAGAAAACTCCTGTACAAATCCCTTGATCCCTGACCTATGTTGGTTGGGATTGTGGAAGCTGTAGTTCAAAACAACTAGCAGGCACTAAGTTGGCTATTCTTGTTCTGTCGCATGGACTGCTTTAGACTACTTGCTGTGTTTGCTGCTGCCGCTGTTGTTTTTAAAGTACAGGAATCTCCAACCATCATTAGCTGCTGGATGCATTTCAGATTTGGAAGTGTTTTGTAGGTTCCTACAAAATGGCCGATGATCAGCATGGCCAGTCACAAAACACATATTTTCCAGAAAACAAATTGATGAAGCTTAGAAAGAGATAATTTGCACAGGAATCAGAATACAAAGCATAGGTGGAATCTGAGCTCTGAAACACAAATGTCACTCTTCCGAACCCACCATTTCCTGGTCCAGTGCCCATTACACATCAGGCAAACTGGTGAGGCTCTGAGGAACACATAGAGGCATAATGAATACCCACACTACACCTACACCCACACACCAAAATGCAAAACAAAGGCAAATTACCTCCTCGCTGCCCCTATTCCCTAACCATCCAGAATATTCCCTCCTAGCTTACCTTTCTTTTTTGGGGGGACATTCTTTAAAAAGAAGTGCTGGGCTGCAGCAGCCCAATATTGGAGACTGACAGGCCAGTTTTCAACATGCCAGTCCTGAAAGTTCTTTTATATAAAGTATAAAACATTTCAGTTCAGAGGTACAGGGAGCCTAATAGGTGAGCAGGGAGGTGATTGTGGGGTCCAGTGTTGGGAACCCCAGGTAAGGTAATAGTCTTACAACTTCCCTAAAATTTTCATGCATCTGCAAAGATCAATTGCTCTTCAGTGATCGTTCAGTAAAGATTGGCTGGGATATTCTTTGGAATTTCATTTCAAGAAGCAGGGTTATATTCAGGGGTGCTTTTAAGTGCCTTTCATATCAGTGGGTCTTTTCTAAATAGGCCTAGCATTGGATGCAGCTCCTGAAGATGTGTTAGGGTACAATCCTATGTGAATTTTCTTAGGAAAAAAATCCTGCAACTTCTAACAATCCCCGGTCGGCATAGAATTGCACCTATGATCTTTCTTTATGCAGTTGTAGAAGCATAAAATATTTCGGTGCACACCATCTGAAAATGTTTGATACAGATGTGGGTTGTAACTTTCCAAGACATGTAAAGAGGTGTACATGTTCATGTTGTATTGATTTTTAATTTTTCATATTTTATGTTTTGGAAATGTGTATCAATTGATAGGATGCATATGAGTTTAGAATTATTTATTTTCTTGGAATTATTTTGCCACAAGTGTCAGTTATATTTATGCCAGGTGAGGAAACGGTTTTGAAAGCAAAACACTTATTCTGCACTGTCCTTGCTTAATTCGGTTAACACAAATTAGAATGACATTCTAAAGTATTAATAAAATTGTCAGACAGATACTGTTTAAAGCCGTTGGACTGCTAAACAGCATCTACTCTCATTTTGTACTCTTTTGGTTTAAGTGGATTAAAGAACATCAGTTGTTCACTGTACAGCAAACAGAAAGACTATAGTAAAGTAAGAACGTTTGTGTAAGATTTCTTTCTGTTACTTCTTTCCTTAACTAAGTACTTCTGTGTCATTTGTTTTTGTAATGAAGTATATGAAATTCTGTTTTTAGGAGTTCTTGACCAGGGATGGCAAGCAGATTCATCAACTCGCATGGTTCTTCCTAAAAAGTCAGGTAGGTGGAGCTGTTGCTCCATGAAGATGTGTGTGCACACATGCACATGCCCGCTCTCTCTCTCTCTCTCTCTCTCTCTCTCTCTCTCTCTCTCTCTCTCAACACATGCGTGCACACACACAGTGTTTACAGGGTGTGCACATTCTCTCTCACAGAGTACACCCACAGGGTGGATTTTTTGTATACATAGCATTTACTTGTCTTTACTGTAAAATTTTTGAAGTGTAGTTAGTGTTCCTCAAAACTTAATTCACATTTTTAAAATAGTAGGGGATGTTCATAAATGCTTATAATGGCAGCAATTTTGAATTCATGCTCTTGTATCTGCACAGGCAGCTTTAATTAACCAAACATTTTAGAATTTGGAGTTAAGTGGAAGCAAACAGGAAGTGCTTTGAATTCTCTGTTCTGTTCTTGGCGGTGGACGGTCAGTTAAACATGTTTTAACTGTGACCTTAGCTGACATGTCTAATTCAAATAAAGAACAGGCAAACTTAATGTGGTTACCATTTTGAATTTCCCCCTTGCCTGGAATTGGTTCTGTGAACTGTTATTTTTGGGGTAGTTAAAACTAATGTTCTTTACTAGCACAGTAAAGAACAAGAACACGGAATTTTTAATATGGTTTGATTATTTGCTGAAAATTGTGTGCGCTCCAAGCCAACGAAAATGGCTCAAGGCTATGTTGCTCTGCCTTTCTAGTTTTTTATTAGTCCTTACAATGTTTTTTATTCACAGTACTGATGCATATGTTTTAAATTGGTGGAATGCTTTGGTGCACAGGAGTGATCTCACAGAACTGCTGTCTTTTATCTTAACTTGCTTAACAGCAGCAGGATTTCCTTGAGGTGCATCTCCTGGAGAAAAAGGAACCTACAGCTATTTCATGTGTTTTAGATGCAATGCTGTTCTATTAATGTCATTTATTTGTGTTGGTGCTGTGCAGCCAAGTTTGGCTCCCATAGTAGTTTTAGAACTATATACATCGCCATACAGAAACCAAGACAATTGCCTTCAAACTTTTAAATTTTATGATTTTTTATGTAACAGTAGTAATAAAATGAACTTAAAAAACAGTAAGTCAGAACATAAAACTTAGAAGCTTGAATCCAGAGTAGTCCTTCTGCAAAGCAAGCCTGATTCACATGTAACAACAATGCAGAGAATGGCTTTAGCATGGATTGATTCCAAAGATTATAGGAGGTTGGTTGGTTTGTTTTGGTGGAAGGGCTCCTATTCTAAAAGCCTCTCCTATTTCTTTATATTAGTGGGAATCTCTGGAAGCTTCTGCTTATGACATCCCTAAATCCAATCCAAACAGGAGAACTGAGGAAGCAGCAAATAACACTGCTTCATAGTTAGAGTATAACCAGTGGCTTTGCTCACTCAGACCAAGATGGAACTGGCTGCTCTGATCTTCTCAAAGGCAAGGCAGGCAAGGGCTTCCAAGTGCTTGCCTAGATGTCTTACTGTGGGTTATTTTCCTGCTCAGGAGTTATACAAAGGAGGGTGCTGTCATGTATTGCTGCATCCCTAGCAGTACTGGATCTTGGCATCCCTTGTGGAAACTTTTCCCTCACCTGTTCTAAGATCACCTGACACTGTTTGGCATAAATGTCTGAAAGACTTAGCTATTTTAATGGAGTAGTAATATTCTTGGGAATAAGGTGCAAATATCCTTCTTGTTCTTTGGTCCAAAGTTAAGGCTAATTTAATGTAATCTTATTCAATAATTTTCAAATGATAAAGGGTAGAAAGGTGAGTGAATCTGATTTTTTAATCTGTAGCCTAAAAGTGAAGAGATGCTTACCAGAAACTGAGCACAGAACACCTGTGTCCATATATAAGTATCGGAACCAGTTTTAGAAGCTACCTTCCTATTTCTAGCTCTGAACTAGTAATGAATAGTATTTAATGCCTGAGTGATCAAGGCCAAACATGTTTCCATGTTTGCAGAGTACCTTCATCTGATTTTATTATTACCTGATCATACCAGATGTGATGCACACTTCTGAAACACAGGAAAAGGTTGTTAAGGCATTCTTTTCAGCCAAAAGTTGAAATGTCCGCCTGAGAGGTCCGCCTGGTGCCGTTGTTATTTGTTTTTCGGCGCCAGGCCAAGACCTTTTTATTTAAACGGTATTTTAATTGTTAATTGGTTGTTTTATTTGTGGTTTTAATTAATGGCCGAGAAACTCCAAATTTTTAATGCTATTCTATTCTTTTTTTATTTATTTTCTTTGTAAGCTGCCTCCAGGCTTTGGCGATGGGTGCGGCATAAAAATGTTATAAATAAATCAAAGTGTCAGTTCATTCATCCAAGTGGCAGATGTGGGTTAACTAATTCATAGTGCTTCAAGCTGCCTCTGGTGTGCAGAAGCAAGCTTCAGATGCCCTTTTCTTAGTTTTTTTTAACATGGCATTCAAACCCAAACACTGGTTTGTTAATCTAACTACAAATTGTAAGTTAACCCAAACCCATACACACTAGGCTGTTTATAGGCTAAGCAATTAATTTAATTAATTTAGCAATTAATTCTAGATTAATTCTGAATTGTTTAACCCATAAGCAATCCAGAGTGTTTGGGTTCGGATGCCTTGCATTTATTTTATTAATTAATTTCTATATTGCCTGTTGGTCAAGACAGCTATGAACAGAATGTTTGTAGGTTTTCAGACTGTAAATGGCATACATAACCGTGCACATCCCCACAAATGGTGGCTTAATTAACCCATGGTTTCCTGCTGTGAAATGTGCAAACTGAATCTGTGCAGTCTGCATGGGAGTAAACAACTTGTGAACTGGACAGTCATTTTGGCCACAGGGACAGGATATATGATAGATCGATCAAGAGCACTGAAGGTTGCATAACAAAATTAGGTACTGACACCTAGAAGTTTATTGGTAATGCTGTGATTCCATTTTGTGTATGTGTTTTAGGTCCCCAAGAGCCTTCATTTAACAGATTTCACCCATTATCAGGTATGTTTGTTAATCCATTTTTTCTATCTGAAGATGAGCCATAACAGATTTTGAATGGATTTGATTGCAATGAAATGCTAAAATAGGTTCAAGGTCTTGAAACTGGGGCTTTCCTCCACATAGGAGTGGATCTCCCTTAGCCTCAAGGAATTATTTCACTCCCTCTTCCTACCTGGCCTGTATCAAGGTTTACAATTAACACAGACTGCCATTATCCTGGATTGGAAGCTATTCCATCTCCTGTAAATCATCCCATCCTGTTCAAGAAACTGCTCTCAGTCATGGAAGTATTATCTACATATAGTTCTTCTCAAATACAATGATAATATAATAAATACCAATGTTTTTCTCAGAACATGGTAAATCCTGAAAGAAAGAAATGCAGTAGGGATGGTAGTTCAGGACAAGCAACAGCTTTTACACAAAATGTAACATTGATGATAATTATAAGAAGATGCTTAAAGAATGAGTTTTATGGAATCTGGATGGATAAACAGGGAATAATTAATCTCTCCCACAAGTTTTGTGTGCAGCACAAAGCTTGACTTAGGGTTGGACAAGTGGGGATAACCTTGACCATTCCACTTGGTCAGATACACCATCTGGCAGTCAGCCACTTTAACTGCCTGCACCTGGTATTGGGTACCTGAGGCAGAATTGAAATTCTGTTGGTGCACCTGCCACCCAGCAGTCTCCATGTCTGAGCTGTGAGGCAGTTTTGAGTGTGGCATTGAGGACCCCAAAGGGTTCTGGACACTTTGACCAGGAACAGCTCAGGATTTTATGGGCTACCGTGTCACCCACGGGTTTGTCTCTGGTAATGTCTGGCCCAGCACATGTGGCAGGGCATGCTTGGACCTCGTTGGCACGCCAGAGCATTCTCTGATCCATTTTGACCTGCAGACCACTTTTAATCTTGGCAGGTGTGGGGCCAAGTCTGATAGTCTGGTCTAGAGGCTAACAAAGGTGGCTGAGCTCTCTTGGGGAATTTCCTGCAGGCCTATTCTGCAGTCCTGCCAAGGTCCCAATCACTGCTTGAACGGAAGATATGAGCTGGGCTATTGGCAGGAATGCTGTTCAACCCAGCGCCAGAACCGTGTCCTCAGCATTCTGTGGCACTGAGGCCAGTGAAATCGCAGCATCAATGAGTAAAACACAAATGGTGAAAGACTTATCATAAACACAGTTGAACACAAGAAAGAATCCATTTGATGGTGACATAGCGATTGAACATCTCTGCCACAGCTGCAGCTGTTCAGTGTCTAAGGCCAAGTTACTTATCTCTATCTTATCTCTAGACTGCCCTCCTCCCCAAGATAAGCAGGAGAGCCCACTTGTGATGGCAGTTAGCTGGATAACTATATGTGAGATAGTCTTCTTTGCAGTTCCCTCCCCCCCCCCCAATCTCTGGAATAAGTTGCCTTTGGGGGTCTGCTATGCTCCGTTGCAACCAGCTTTTAAGAAGGCCTTGTAAACATTCTCTTCTCTGGCCATCTCCTAATATGATTAATGTTGTTGGCTTTATTGTGTTTTTACTGCATTATTGTGCTTTTACCACTATAAATATTGTACTGGTTTTACATGTGTTGTTGTTTACTCTTAAAAACAGATTCAGCACAATATGTAGCGTTCCCTGCAGCCCCGGTTTTATAAAACCCCACTCCATATGGCCGTATTGATATGATAACTTGTATTTGATAACCTAACATCATAAATTCAAGACATTCAAAAGTAGTGCCCATTATAATTGTACATGAATAAGACTGCAAAATGTGCCTTATGTGTTCTTTTTAATAGCAGATGAATAAATCCAGAGTTATTAAGATTTTTCTTTTTCATTTATTCTTCTAATTCTGTTTCCTGGTTTCTCAGAACCTGCTCCAGTCCCACCAATTCCTAATGAACAGCAGTTGGCCCGGTTAACTGACTATGTAGCTTTCCTTGAAAACTGAAGTTTCAGTCACTTGTTCATGACATCCGGTGTACTTCTGGGGCCCTCCGATACGTTTATCCCATTGAATGTTATTACTATTATGGAAGATGCTGGTAAAACAGTTTTGTATTTCATCTTGATGTTTGTTTGCTTGAACAAGATTTTTTTTAAAAAATTTACTCTTCGTAATTATCAACCAGGTGCACAGCAGTATTATCAGATGGGATTTAAGTTATTTGGCTTTAATGCAAAGGAGGCAGCACCTCTGCGACGGTAATGCACTCTAAATGTTGGAATGTCGAGCATTGCCATGCGGGGATGGAAAACCAAAAACTGAAAGGATTCTATGTAGACCAGGGTATGAAGTTGGTCTGTTGCTGAGAACCACCTTTGCAGTGTCTTTCCATACAGAGTAGAGTCTGCCTACTGTGTAATGCATATTATTGCCTTGTTCATTTATAATGTGGTTCTGCAGTTGACTGCTCTATTTTAATCATCCTAATTTACCTCTTTAAGGTAAAATATATGCACTTGTATTTCTTCATTTAAAAATATTTACAAAACATATTTGAGTTACCCATTAGATCTTCTGGGGAAATATGGGTCGCTCTTTTAATTTTTGCATTTTATAGATAAGGGAATATGGTTTTCAGAAACTTTCATTAGTGGCAGTTACATGATAGTCTCACCGGTATCTGGGTTTGTGATCTTGTAACAAGTGTTGAATGTTTGTTCTCTCAGATAGGTAGCCTGCAGCTGTATTTGCATTGAAGTCAACAGTTTCTGATTGCCTGTCCTAATAATCTGGAAGATACTTTCCATCTCTGTAAATGCAATTCTGCCTGATTACAAATGGGTGAAATTACAGTGCAACTTTGGGTTTGGTTTCTGAATTGTCTTCCTGCTGGTCTGGTCTTGCTACCTTCATTGCCAGTGTACAAAGGAAACACCTTTGCTATTCCCTTGCCTCTGCCCCTTGTGTCTAAAATGCCAACTTTACCCATATTGCTTTTCTTTACTCCTTATTTTTTTTTTTTTTTTTGTTCCAGCCACTTAAAGGCTTGTCCTTCAAAAATGGATAGTATCTGCCATCTGTAGTGACACTTTTCTCCCAGTGCACTACTACTGTATGTTTTTGACTTACAACATTTTTGGATGTGTTTGATGCAAAGAGGGTCCTAAAATGTGCATAGTTATGTTAAGTCACCCTTAATGAGTTTAATGATTGATCTTAAACTATTATTTATTTAAAAATCTGTTTAAGCCTCAGCTTTCTAAGTAGTGGAAGGTTAATTTTGCTAATAATAAAAATTGTTTACACCACTCCAGTGTTTTCTTTCTTTCAATTTTTCTCATTTTCTAGAGACGTGTTTAGTATTAATACTTAGATTAGCATAATCTAGCAGTAAAGCTGCTCAGGTGGTGTTGATATAATGCAAGTTGAATTGTTTCTTCTCCGTGGGATTGTCTAAGAGTGCGATTCAAATCTATATGTTTGCTCAGATGTATTTCAAATAAGTTTGAATGGCATGACAGAGGGGCAGGTTGAGAAATAGAGTGCAATGAATACTGGTTTCTTAAGGACCAGGACAAAATAGTGTGCTTTGAAAAGGTGGTAGAGAGTTGAACAATGAAATGGCCCTGTATTAGTCAAAAGGAGAAGTGCGGAAAATAGCATGAAGGCAACTGCAGGATGGTGGGAAGAGCAGCTGTGCAGCAAGGTGAGCAATACACAGTCTGCAGGAAGCCTTCAGAGTGAGGTTCAGCTAGGAACAGCTATGAGGCTGCTTGTGGCTTTAGCATAGTCATCTTCCCTAATTTTGTCTGCACACCAGAAAATCTTCCACCCAGGTAGCTCATAGAAATCATAAATTCTTAGGAATTTGGCATCCTACTTTTCCTGCTCAGTCCCACCACATCCTGATCTGAAAGTCTTTTTGAAAGTTGTTCTCCTGTGAGGCACATATCTATGCCACTCTCTAGAGCAGCGGTTTTCAACCTTTCCACAGCTAGGGACCGGGGAAAGCAGGAAAACCACCCTGTGGACCATTGAGGCAGAAGCAAAAGCACCGTATTAATAATACAGTATTCTGTGTATTAGTTTTCAAAGACAATAACAAAAAATGAAAATTCTCCAAAACAACCAGAAACCGAGCAACAAAAACATGCCAACAGAAGAACAAAATACCAAAATCGGTGCAGTGTGGCTTCCAGCCAGCTCCCAGTAACCTGTCTCTCCCCTTTCGCCCCCCTGGTGGCACCAGTTTGTTTGTCTGTTTATAGCTGTTATATACCATCCACTATAAGTGTCAAGGGACGGTTTTACAATAAAAGTGACAGAAAATAAAGCACAGCATCCAACTTCCAGTAAATAAAACCCTCCTTAAAACCAGTTAAACATTAGTGGGGGAAAAAAGTTTTTACCTTGCGTCAAAAGGAATAAAGCATTGGCACCAGGCGAACCTCTCTGGAGAGTGTATTCCATAATTGGGACGCCACCACAGAGAAGGCCCTTCTCTGGGTAGCCGCCCGCCTAATCTTCAAGGAGGACTCCTGAAGAAGGCCCTCTGGCTCAGATCTTAAGGGGCTGAAAGGCACATAGGGAAGGAGGCAGTCCTTCAGGTATCCAGGACCCAAGCTGTTTAGGGCTTTATAGGTCATCATCAGTACCTTAAATTGGGCCTGGACTTCAATCAGCAGGCAGTGTAAATGATAGAGGACTGGCGTTATATTTGGATACCTGCTGGTCCCCGTTAACATCCTGGCAGCTTTATTCTGAACCAACTGAAGTATCCGGACTGTCTCCAAGGGCAGCCACATGTAGAGCACATTACAATAATCCAATCAGGAAGTTAGCAGAGAATGGGTCCCTGTTGCTAGGGACTGCTCATCCAGGTAAGGGTGCAGTTGGTAGATCAGCCGAAGCTGAAGAAAAGTGCTCCTTGCCACTGCTGTCCCCTTAAAGTCCAGGTACAGTTCTGGGTCAAGGAGCACTCACAAACTGCGCCCTGTCCTTTATGGGGAATGCAACCCCCTCCAGAACAGGGCTAAAGTCACTTACCCAGAAGGCTGAACCATCCACCAATAGGACCTCCGTCTTGTTTGGATTAAGCCTCAGTTTATTGGCCCTAATCCATCCCATTACTCTGGTCAGACACCTGTTAAGGACAGCCAGTGCCTCACCTGGAAGTGATGTAGAAGAGAGGTAGAGGTAGGTGTCAGCATACTGATGCTCTGCAGCCCAAACCCCCAGATGACCTCTCCCAGTGCTTTCATGTAGATGTTGAAGAGCATGGGGGATAAAATGGAACCCTGCAGAACTCCACGGCAAAGCTGCCATGGCGCAGAGCCATAATCCCCCAGCATCACCTTTTGGAATGGGCCAGTCAAGTAGGAGTGGAACCACTGCAGAGCAGGGCCTCCAACCCCCAACCCAGCCAGCCTATCCAGAAGGATACCATGGTTGATTGTATTGAATGCCACTGAGAGGTCCAGGAGAATCAACAGGGACGCACTGCCACTTTCCCTCTCCCTGCACGGCTCATCATACTGGGCGACCAAAGCAGTTTCACTTTCATAGCCAGGCCTGTAACCAGATTGAAATCTAGTTGGGCTAGATGGTCAGTTTCCTCCAAGAGCACCTGGAGTTGTCTGACCACCACCTGGTCGAGCACCTGGCCCAAAAACAGGATGTTAGCCACTGGCCTATAACTGACAGCTAACTCTGGCTCCAGGGTCACCCTCTTCAGGACAGGCCTGATCCTTCAAAGGGGCAGGGACCCTCCTCTCCCTCAGAGAGGTGTTGATGATCTCCCAGACCCAGGTACATATCCTGTCCTTGGCTCTAATGAGGAGCCACGAGGAGCAAGGGTTGAGCAGACAAGTGGTGGGTCAGACTAGTCCAAGCACCTTGACCACATCCTCAGGCCATACCAATTCAAACTCATCCAACAAAGATGGACCAGATGGCACTCTGGACGCTTCCTGTTCTGAAACCATATCAACTGTGGTGCCCAGCTCGTGGCAAATCTGAGCGATTTTATCCCTAAAGTGCTGGGTAGAGTCATCACAGCGAGTTACAGATGGTGCAATAGGATTCTTTTTAGGGCCAGAATGTAATGTGGTGTCCTGCAACAGCAGGGGGTTGGGCTCAATGGCCTTCGTGGCCCCTTCCAACTCTTCTATGATTCTACCTGGAAAAGCTCAGCTGGATGGCACTGTGATGGAAGTGGAGAAGAATTCCTTCTTTGCCACCCTCACCACCACAGCTTAGGCTCGATAATGAGCCCTAAGGCATGTTCAGTCAGATTCGGCATGGGATTTCCTCCACCTACGCTCTAGCTGTCTCCCAGCTTGCATCATCACCTGGAGCTCAGGCATGTACCACACGGGCTCTGCATGGTGGGAGAGGATGGTTAGGAGCAATGTATTTGTAATTCAGGCCACTCTTCCACACAATTCTTTGAGCAAATTTCCCAGAGCTTTTTTCTACAACCTTTCCAGTTCCTAGTTACAGATCTTCTTCATGCAATGTAGGGGAACATTGTCTTGCAGTGTTTGCCTTGTGGAATGGCCAAGATAGAGTCTGAGAAGGGAGCTGGGCTGGGCTACCTTCCTCTGAGCTTCCCTTGGGATGGCAAGCTTGACAGCAAGCAGCAGTTGGACCAGGCCATGCTGTGCAGCTGAATCTTACAAAGAGAAGTGCTGCGTGGTTGGATGCTGCACCCACCATCTCAATAACCTGTGTGTGCCACTAGATCAGCATCAGCCAGGCAACCTTAAGCTCAGGGTGGCAATATAGCCTTAATGTATTGTCTAAACTGACCCAGTGCCTTTCGTCTATGCAGAGTAGGTTACTCAGTCATGTGATGTCATTCTTTTATATTTAGGGATGGGCAGCTTAAGGCCTACATCTCCCATCAGGTCAGCCAGATGAAGGATCCTGGGAGTTATAGAAGGGTGAATATCACTTGATTCATCTGATGAAAGATCCTGAAATATGGGCCACTGCTAGCCAATGTGACTTTCTTTTAATTTACCCTTGAATGTACATTTGTCAAAATGATTTGTAAACGTTGAGACAGCTACATTTCAAAACATGTTTGAAACATTTGGTTTTCAAACAGCCATTAATCAGTAACTGAGAGCTGGTGTGGTGTAGTGGTTAAGAGCGTGGGACCATGACTCAGGAGATCTGGTCCCCACTCAGCCATGGAGCCAACTGGGTGAGTTGGGTCAGTCACAGACGCTCAGTCCAACCTACCTCACAGGGTTGCTGTCGTGGGGATAAGACTGAGAGTAAGAGGAGGAGAATTATGTTAGTCACTTAGAATTATTTAAAAAAATAAAATGGTGGGATATAAAATTAATATTCTGAGCAAGAGGCTGAAGGTCAACTAAGTAGTGGCAGTGATGCCAAGGCCTACAAGAACAAGAAGAGTTTTAGTTTGTGGGAAACTCCCTGTTGTGTGGGAAGGAAATGGGACAGGAAGACCCATGAAGTCATCAGATATACTCTCTGGAGGACAGATGAATGATATCACTGAAAGACTGCCAAGCCCCCAGACACATATCCCTTCCTACTTATACATGTGGGAACAAATGATGGAGCTTTGAAGAAATCACATCAGACTTTGAAGCTTTAGGGAGGAAAGTCAAGATTTTGGGGGCCCAGGTAGTTTTCTCTTCCATCCTTCTAGTTCTTGGAAGAGGAATAGACAGGGAAAGGAAAATACTCCAGGTGAATGTCTGGCTAAGAAGGTGGTACCAACATGAGAGATTTGGCACAGGATACACTTCCTGAAAGAGTCCTGGCAAGAGATAGGTTGCACCTTACAAGGATTGGAAAGAATGTGTTTGGCCACAACATCAGGAGGGCTTTAAACTGAATCTTATGGGACATGGAGAAGTACACCTGAGAGCAACATCAGACAAAGGCTAATGCACCGCAACAGAGACAGCAGCTCTAACAGTGCCCAATAATAATCTTTCAAAAGATGTAGGAAGAAATCTAGAGTACAAAGCACATAATCTTTGATGTCTATATACTAATGCCCAGAGTATGGGAAATGAGCAGCATGAACTTGCACTCTTAGTGACCTGTTAGGCATAACTGAAATTTTGTGGAATGACTCCCGTAACTGAAATTCAACAATTGAAGGATATACTCTTTTGAGAAGAACAGAAGGAACAGAAAAGGTGGTGTTACAGATGTTAAAGAGACATATCTCTGCATAGAAATGCAGGAGGATGTCCTTAATAGCCCCATTGAGAGCATCTCGACTAATATAAATGGAGCAAGGAACAAAAGGGACACAGTGGTT